CATAAAATGATTTAACAAATGTAAAGTGTACTAAAACTGTGCAGAAACCTACCAAACTATTTTTTTATTTATTAATAAACTTGAATTAATTTTAGAGTATAAAGCTTTTTTATTTAAAGGTTTAATCTTTCCCCTTAAATACTTAATAAATATACAAAATGGAACCTAAACATAATAATAATAATAAAATTAGTAAAATGTGATAAGCCAAAGGAGGGATTTTTATCAAAAAGGAGGAACTCCTTCAATTAACTTTTTTTAGTATATAACTAATATTAAAAATATATTATTATTATAATTATTTGCCTTACAGTAAAACAGAAAAGCTATATTAAATACCTCAAATTAAATAATTGAATTTGAAAAATTTATTAAATTTAAACATAGGAACTGCGTAGTGTTAGCTATACAGGTCAGACTAAGCTATCGAGGTCGCACTGTACAGTGGAGCGACCTCGGCCGCTTTGCATTTTGCGGGCGATATCATGTTGGATTAAAAAGAGCGACGTCGTTTCTGCTCCTGCTCCTGCTCCTGATGCTGCTCCTATCCTATCCTTCACTTCACTTCACTTCGCGTCCTTCATCCGGCTGCCCTGGAAATTAATTTCGTGCACATGTCCTGCAGCCTTTTTCCCGCAACTTTGTTTGGCGCACACACAATGGGAGTATCGCACATCGGGTCACCCGGTTTACCTGCCCATCTCCCGAAAAAAGCAACACCCAAAACCCAAAAACCCAAAAGAACCAACTGTCCAAATGTCCGCTGCCTCACGTGTTGACCGCAAATGTTAAAGCGGCGTGACTTTATTCGATTATATATGGGGGCGGGACTCCGCCGCCGGCCGGGTGGTTACCAAAAAACATTAGAGCCGGATCCGTTTTAGCATAACACCATTGTTGCCCCGAAATGAAATTGAAACCCGCTCCCATTGACCGGGGCAATTGTTTTCCGCTGACCAGAAAGTCGCTGCTGCACTGGAAAAATATTAGTGTTAAATACTTTGATATTTTATACTCGTAGCATCAGGAAACCAAATGAATTAACTAAGATATATATAAAGAGTAAATTGTTCTTAAAACTAAGAGTTTACGATATTAGATGATTTATGATTTAACAAAGCAATTGAAGTGAAAATTATTCAGATAGGTCATTTTACAAATAAGAATATAGCTTATAAGAAAATACAGTAATACCAATGATGGCATATCTTTATATATTCAAAATATTTAAATAAATATATATATGTTTTATATTATTTTTGTAACATTTTTGTAGTTAATCTTACATATTTATGTTAACAAACATGTATTATATTTGTTTTTTAACATTTTTAAAGATTATACAATACTAAATGATATATATTAAGATAAATATAGAAAATAGTAAATAAGATCAATAATTAATATATCACTAAGTAACATTCTAATTAGATTTGGCATGGTCTTTAAGTATTTAATAGGTTTTAAATGGCTAAAAACTATAAATTTGTTGATCGAATTATTTCAAACCATTGGATTTCTTATTATATTTCTCCTTCAGATTTTCCTACTTAATTTCTTTAATTTATTTAAAAACGATTTACTTGCCAGTGCCTTTTGCTCCCGCCCCCCAATCAAATGTCAATCGGCAACCATTCGTGGAGTGCTGACAGATATCGAGTTGATGAACAAGTTTGGGACAAGTCCTGGAGATTAATTTGCTCTTTAGGCAATGGCAATCTCAATCCCATTCCCAATCCACTCCACTCCATTCCGCGCTTATCACCACTCGTTCACTCCCTTAAGGGGTAACTCTGGTAACTCGTAGCTCGTAACTCCCCTTTTGTTGTTTGACAACTCGTTGGTTGGCCGTCATACGAGCGCATAATCGTAAAAAGTCTGCAAAATGTCCATAAATGCCGATTAAATCTTTATTTTCCGCCTTGGCGCACGCAGCAGTCACCCAAAGTATGTAACCCTTGATGAGGGTTGTCCTCGGATAATCGGTTATTCGGTTTTCGGGATACTCGGATATTTGGTTACGCGTTTTCGAGCGCCGCTGACTGTTGACAGACATGTGACAGGCGCGATCGTGCAACCTGATGATTTAATAACCCGCCCCGCCAAGGGATTAGAAATGCCCCTCGAAGGACAATGACCGGAAGGAACAGTGCTGGGAAAAAATTGTATAGCCCTTACTTTCATTTTAAAAGAATTCTTTAAATCTTAATTTTTAGAAAGAGGTTTGGTATATATTTATTATATAAAGGTCACTTTACCCAGAAGGACTTTATAAGTCTTAGCACATTTCTTTGTCAAGTCAATAAGATATTTTGTTGTTTAATCTACACTATTCTTCCAAGGGATATACCTTAGATTTATTCATATAAAAATTAAGATTTTCTTTAAAAGCCATTGCTAATTTTTGGTTTTAAAGAGTTGTTCAAGCAACCTTATAAGATGTTTATCTAAGAATATTAATAATAATGTTTTATTTCATGGGCATATCTTGATTCTTGGAATGTGAACCATCTTACATTTTTTTTATTTTAAGGAATAAAGTTATTGTTTAGCTTAAGAATATTTTGAAAGTAATAGTACAAATAATAATGATCTTATCGTAATGGGGTTTTCTAGATTCTGAAGATATAATTGATTTTATTTTATTTTAAGGAATACAAATATGTCTTCATAAGGGACCATCATAATAATATTACTTAGATGCCTGTTAGAAACCACTTCAAATACCAAAATGTCTTGCTTTATTTTCTAATCGCATTCAACAACTGCCTTGTAATTCCTGTTTATAGATCCCTGATGGATATCTAGCTATGGGATACTAACATCTCTGGTGGTGTGGGGGTTGCAAATTTGCAGATACGGATGTCACTGCCTCAAAAACTAACCACCCAGGATAACGGTGAGACATCGGTGGGCTCTCCGCTTTCAGTTGTTCCTGTTTTTGGTGCTATTGTTGTTGTTGTTGGTGTCACCGCAGCGTATCCTTCATGTGCGTATGTATGTGTGTGTGTGCAGCGTGTGTGTGATTGATGACAACTCGAATAAGCGATGATTGATGCTTATTTTACACTTTTCGCTACAACACACGGCGACACATGTTTGTTTGGGTGTTTGGGTGCGGTAAGGCGGTATTGGTATGTGTGTGTGTGTATGCCCCTGTCCATGTGCATTTGCGTTTGTGTCTGTGTGATCCTGGGAGTTTGGGCCAAATGCAGCGGTGGGTGGCGGTACAGCAGCGTTCACAAAAATAGGAGGTCCTTGAAAAAGATTTTTTATAAACTCTAAAAACATGAAAAATAATCCTATAAAAAAAAACAAATATGTGATTATTTTAAACTGAAAGCAAAAATAAATATAGTTAATAAATAAAGTTTTTCAAAAGGTCTTTAAGAAGTTTTTGAACTTTATTTCCAATCAAATTGAAAAATTACATTTTTGTAGAGTTGCGTTTATTGGTAATTTTAATTAAAGGGAATATTATCGTATATTAATTCGTTGTATAGCGTTATTTTTATTAGGAATTTAAATTAAGGGGAATACTATTGTATATTATTATTCTTAAACAACCGTATTGGAAAATATGAATTTTTTATAGCGTTATGTTTTTAAGGAATTTTAAATAATGGAAATATTATCGTATATTAATATTCTTAAATAACCGTGTTTGAAAATATTAAAGTCTACAAAAAAATGAATATATTGTTGGAATATTAATCAAAAAATCATTAATGCCCATAGTATCAACAAGGATAATTTCCGATTTCAAGGTGCTATAGTTACGACGAGCATTGTGCGACAGGGGATTATTACGAGCACACGTTCCGGCGTCTCCAGACGCCGACGAGCCGCAATCATCAATGTCACCATCTCCCCCGTCCCACCAGCCCGAATCCTGAGTCCCGAGTCCTGAATCCTGCATGCTGCAGCCTTCTCATCATCCCTCCGCCGGCGGATGGGAATCGATGTCAGTGTATTAGTAATTGTTTGATTTCACCCGCCTCCTGGAATCCTCGTATGTGTGCGATGCTCCTCCTTGTGGTTTGCTTATTGGTGTTCGGCAATACATCATCGACTGGCTGACATTCAACCCACCACCCATTCCTCATCGACACCCACGTCCATATCCCATCAGGATGTCTGGCCAGAATCTGGTCGAAAACGATGCCTTTTTGCATACTTACTGTCCTACAGCTGCGGTCTAGATAATAGCACAAGTATTTCGACAAGATTTACTTTGTTAACTTCGACGATTTAGAAGCAATCAAGATACAGACACTTTACTCTGGAGATTTCAAAAATAATCTATAGGGGGGCGCCAAAAAAAACACTGGCGTTTTGAAGCCATTTATAGAGATACCTAAAAGTATGCAGCAAAAAAACGAAACGAATCCATAGGACACCCTCTTAGAAGATTTTAGATTATATAAAGCCCTACAAATACAAATGATCATATATTTTAAATATATATAAATATAAATCATATATTTTTTAATGATTCGCTATAGTAAATATATGAAAATGTACCCTTCTAATTCTAGTGCTATCAACTTGACCGCCACTGTGCCCACTCGGGGCCTTTAAGAAATGTAATTTAAAACGCCACACAATGCCGACTCCAAATCCTGTCCTCTTGGGCCAACTTGTAATTGTTAATTAGAGCTGACTACGAACAGAGTCGACCAGGGGGCTCGTCATAAATTGTGCGAAATGCATAATTCTCCGCTTACCAGGCCAATTGATTAACTTTTGTTCGATGCGAATTGACAGGCAAACAGTGCAAATACATATCAAACACGCACAACTGTAGTTATTTTGCATTATTCAATGGAATGTGCTCAACTTGAATTTATGTTGCACTTGCACAGCTGCTGTTTAATGGAATTCATATTATTGCTCATACCTGTCATTGCAATTGCGAGTTTTGTATTTCACACGGTCAACGATGGTGTAAATGAAAAATTTCTACCTGAAAAGTATCTTAAAATGAAAAAAAGCAGCCATTCCATGTTTAAAAAAGCTATTTACATTTAATTAAACGTATCTTTGTCACAGACATTTAACTTGATTGATAAACTTTAATGCTAAAAATGGCAAAAGAAGCCTCTATTCAAAACACTTAAATGGTTTTTGGCACTATAAATGCGCTAGTGATCACTTTTTCCTACAACTTGGGACTTTCCGCCTGTTGGGAATTTACGAAGAAAATGTTTGGAGGTGCTGTACTTGGACGCATCAAACCGATTCCTTGGATTGTAGGTAATATCTAAGAGGGTTTTTATAATGAATGTTTAATAATAGATAGTATTTCAAAGTACGTATCTCACCTTTCTAGTCTGCCGCCTAAACCGCTGTCGATGCACTTGAGCTAACTTTCCGCTGGATAAAAGCGATCGCTTCCTTCGCTGCCAAACCTGTGGAATTATATCCATTAATATTATGCTTAGTTATTAGATAAAGGAATATATTAAGATGAAGGTTTTCCTTAGCTACATAGATAAAATTCTTTATCATTGAACATAATCTATTCTTAATATAAAAGAAAGCCACTTAAAAGGGGTAAGTCAATCGTGAGTAAAAACGGTTTGTTATAGAAATGGTAAATCAAAAACCGAAATTCGGAAATATTACAATCACAAAGTTATATATAGGTCAAAAGAAAAATATAAAACTAAATTATTTTAAAAATTATTTTAATACTTTATATTGCAGAGACACAATTTGTCTTGGATTTGAAAGTTCCTGAAGTAAATTCACCTGCATATTTACATCGTATCGTATCCGCTGCTCCAACTGTGATTTTCTGGCCAACAGCTGGTGACAGAGCCACCGGACTCCCCGCTGCAGATCCTCCGCATCGTCCATGTGGCAGATGAGCAGAGGACAACCGCAGGACTCCGCCAGCTCCTCCAAGCCGAAGGCATATTCCACATCATAAAGCTGGACTCCATCGCGATGATGTGAGGCGACCAGGAGCACCGGTTTGCCAGCCAGCTGAGTGCCCCGAAGGCAATCGGTTAGCAGGGAAAAGGTGGCCTGCAGTTCATCCGGATCTGAAGCCAGATCAAAGCAATATATGAGGGCATGCGAGGAGGCATAGTAGTGTTTCCACAGGCGCTGCATCTCCGGATTGCCGCCGACTTCGGTCAGCTGGAGTTTGGCAGGAAGTTCCTCCGTGGAAACCTCATAGCAGCGCACTCCATTCGTCGCCTCCTGGTCATCCAAGGCTCTGGGAACTCTAGTCATCCGATGGCCCAGCTCCGTTTTACCACTGCCCGAGGGTCCAAGGATCAGCAGCTGGAACTCCTCCATCGGTGGCGAGGAAGTCTCACAACAGCTGCAGGATTGGAAACAACAGCAGTCGCGCAGCTTGGCGCACAGTAAACCCATCTAGCTCAGGTCCATTTTTGGGGATTTATTTAGTAATATTTTTCGTTTCTTTTTAACTTTCTCAACAGCAACTCCTTTTTCAGTTCGACAGATATGCTTGTTTATTTACCTGCCACCGGCGGACAGCTGACTGCGACAGGTAGTCGTCACGGGCAACGCCAGGAAGTTCAATGTTTTGGCAGGTATTCCTTGGAAAGTTGCCTAGACAACCGATCCGACGAGGGATGGCTTTGCTCCCTTCCAGCGAAATCCACGTAAGTGATTCGCAGTTCATTCGATTCAGGGAGGGTGTTCTAATTTTCCCCGAAGCTTTGGGCCAGCACAATGAATCACTTCTGATCCCACGAAAAAAACCTGCCGTTATTACAATTCAGTCACCACTTAGGTGAGAATGTATTATGGTGTTGTGAGAATAAAGAAATATTTTTTTTTCCATTATATTGACAATGGGTATACAAATTTGCACCAAACATAACAATATTAAATAATAATTCCCTGAATAAAATGATTCTTTATTTTAGATGCTGAAATATGTTAAATTTTGATAATTTATAATTAATATTTTGAGGATTACGAATGATTAAAAATAAAATATTAAAAAAATGGTTGGGCAAAGTATTAAACTAAAAATTATAGTGAAATATCGTTAAACATATTGATTGCTTGTTTAAAAAGCTCTAATATATTTTAGTTTTAGACTTAATAAATTTTAAATAAAGTCGCTCGAAAAACCTTTTTATTAGAATGTATTATAAAATTAAAAAATATATTTTTAAGATCTATACTTATACGTAAATACTACGTATTCTAATAAATTGTATAAATACAAAATGGGTGGTAAATATTAAATCTATTTTTTGGGGAGCTCAAAAATATTTTACTTTTAGGTTTTATTATATATTAACTTAGATTGCAATTACTTATGATAGTTTTAAAACACATTTTGCAATATATATTTTATTTTTTCTTGAAAGAAAATCGTAGACAAATAAAATGGACAACTAGGAAATGATTTAAAAAGGTTTACAATAATTATACTTAACTTGACTCGAATTTTATAATACCAAAACATTTTGGATGTGTGGTTGGCACTAAGGATACTGTTAAATCTCATAAAGTTATCATGAAAGCGACCTTATCTGCAAAGTATTGACCGATTTTGAAGTTCGAAGGAAAAGCTTTAAATCGGTACATCCACCGTTTCGCCGCTGGGTGGCGCCACTTGTCCCAAGGAACTTTTCTCAGCCGCGTTCTATGTTTTTCGAACTCATACTGGGTACTTTTAAGTTACCCACTTTGCCTGGGTTATGGGGAATTTATATTTCCCCCTGAAAATATACCCGTTTTGAGCCACCCACATTTCCCGCTTTGAACATCAATTATTTGTTTATTTAATCACAACTTGGCGAGTTATTGATTCGGTTTCATTTCCTGATTGCCAGCAAGCAGAACAAGTGGCCGTTTGCTTTGATAATGGCTAAATAGCCATTGCCCGCTGTTTGTGAATATATATCGTATATGCACACATAATGTATCTTTGATGAAGCTGCGGTGGTTGTGGCTTTGTGGTTTCAATGGGGCAGAAAGTAGAGAGCAGAAAGCGGAAAGCAGAATGGAGCCCTTGATAAACTCGCGCTAATCGCTCCCCATGTGACCGCGTGTGTGGCCATGTTTGCCCCACCTAAGTCCAAAGTCCTTTGTGCCATTCCATCGCATTATGATGGGGAAGTGGATGTGGATGTGGATGAGGATGTGGATGTGGATGAGGATGTGAATGTGCCTGTTTCTGTGCCCCGAAACCGTTAAGCACATCTGCCGAGCCGAGGCCCAGGCCCCCCAATGCTCACAGCCAACCACCTTTATCCGCCCCCATCTTGGCCAACAAATTGAAAAGTAAGCAAGCTAAACGTTCGCCGAACTTTGGGGTAGAAAAGTCGTCTGTAGCCTTGAGCCAGTCGCCAGCAATCCTTTTGTGCAGGTCCTTCCCCAGTACAAAAGGCGGGCACAGAGAAGAGATCATGCTGAGGGCTTTTTTATTTTCAGAAAGGAAAATTGTATCCTTAAAATTAGTTGTTTGTTGCTATTTCGCATATTTTGTGAAAACTAGTTGCATGTGAAAAGTAAGTGGTTCATTACAATGCAATACTTCCGAGGTGCTTAGCAAATATAAGGGTTAACAAATAAAGTGAGCATTAAATTCTAATTTTCAAAACTAAAAGTTCATAGATTCATGTTTTAACGATTTTTTATTCTGAAAAATAATAGAATGCATAGAATTTAGTATGGCTAATTCATAGGATATAAAAAAAATCAACAAAAATGTTTACTATATCATCAGAATTCAACTTTTGTATTAACTACTTAATATATACTTTGTGTAAGGAAAAATTTAAGGGCGTTGTAATACTAGTTAAATGAATCCTTAGTGACCAAATTCGGTTCATAATTACTGTATGAATAGATAAAAAAAAAAATTTCAATAGATGGATAGCATTAAGAATTGAAAAAAGTATGGTACAAATAAAAAATATTAAGTAAATTCTTAATTAGAGCATTTTAACGACTTTGTTCTGTAAACTGGTGTCATAATCGAGTTTATTTAATTTCTGTCAACTACAAATCTTTGAATTTACTTCATATCCTGGACTTAAATGGTACTAGCTTTATGTCTTAATTTTATTTATTTTTTCAAGTGCACACATACCCCACATGAATAGCAATTTTCAAAGCCTTTGGCCAAGCCAACGACTGACATTAGTTTTGCAAGCCTTCGCCTTTGCCTGCGTCCATTTTAATATGCGCATTAATGCGGCACAAAGCGGTGCGAAAAGTGACAACCCGGTAGCTTCGTCCTGCGTTTTGACAGCCGAGTGAGTGGATGTGGATGAGGATGCATCCGGATGGACAGGTGGCAGGAGGACCGAGTGCCAGCACACGGGGGCATATGCAAATACGCGGCTGCTGGAGAGGCAGTTGATTGCTGCACCCTCGCAAGTTCCGTCGAGCAGCGAGTGGCGACCCAGCGATTTTATATAAGAATACGTCATTTTAAGATCCCAAATTCCAAAAATATTGTATATGTTTTTATCCTATTAGAAATATTAAACACCTGAAACAATAGCAGCAAAATAAAATTGGAAAATTTAGGTGCAAATAATTTTAAAAGCAAAAACAAAATATTTTTTTTTTTTTTTTTTTTTTTTTTTTCGGTTCACATTTTGCTTAATTCTACTTTATTTATTTCGTTCAAGTCAAGAGTGTACTATAATGTATCCGTGTATATGGATCCTTAGTTGTCTGTTTGTGTGCCATGCTTCTTAGAACTTACCGGGATTCGAACCCGGACCGGTGGTGATATGATGTTATTGCTGACAAGTATCTCCCTTACTCACTCAGCTACCACCGGCGGCGAGATGACAGCGTCTAGGGGTTCCCTTAAACCTCACCTACTGTGTTTTTGGGAAAAGTTTCACTCTGTTATGATTCACAAGTTGTAATTCTCGGCCAACTACTTCGATTGTCGATTATCGATATGGGTCTAGTCTTGGTAGTGTTGGTATCGTCCAGTCCTAATTATCGAATCGTAGTAATAAGTGTCAAATCTGTTTAGGCTTTCTATCCGAGTTTTTCACAGTCCTGAGTAGCCTAGAGGTTAGAACATCTAACTCTCGCTCCATAGTATGGGGGTTCAAACCTCAGCTCAAAATTTTTTTTTCTTTTCTTTGGTTTTTGATTTTGTCACTATTATCTTTTTTGTATTATTAGAGCACTCGCCTTATGTGCTGAAATTTTCAGATTGTTATTTTAGTGTTATAATATTTTATTGATATTTCTCTATTTTTCAGTCCTCAGTCCAACTCAAAAACGCATGAAGGCTGGTTTAAGATAGTTGAAAGCATAGGTTGAACTACAATAGGATTTCAGGATATTTCTGATCTTGCCTGGGCTTTTTTTTTGTACAATTCAAGACAAAAACCTCTCAATTTTTCTGAATTTCTTTAAAGCAGCGGTTAGAAGCCTTCCATAGGGAATAGTTCTGTTCGATCTCTGCCGCAACACGTACAAAGTACAACAGCATCCAAAACACACATCGGTGAACTGCACACACAGATGAAAATCAACATGTAATTGTATTGTTTTGATTGAATGCCTCGGTATACTTATCACCGGCTACAGATGGAACAGCCCTCGCATGTGTGGGTCCCGCCAAGCTAAAGTCAAATATTTGCAGGTGGCTGACGCCGCAGGACCTGCCCCAACTCGTTGGCCCCGGCTGCATTCCACCCCCGGCTAAATGAAGCGGCTCGGCGTAATCGCTCCTCGACGCACGCTGGCCACAGACCCAAACTGAGTTGGTACCGCAGGTCCTGGGCTTCATTCGATTATTTCTGCGCAGCAGCGCCATTCTGTTCGCTTTCCGGTTGCCTTGGTCCTGGGTCCTTAGAGCAATCCTCTTTGACTATTCCTATGCCACATGGCGTCGTCATATTTTCTTGTGCTTGGCGGTCGAGCGTTCCTTGATTTTCATTTTTTTTTTCTCCACTTTTCCGACGGCTCTCGCAGCTTTTCCAGCTATACGGACGATTTTCCCGGCCTGCCGCACTTGTCGAGTCGTTCACCGTGGCAAAAAGTTGAGCGAGCTGAGCAGCAGCTTTCCTCGGATTTCATTTCCGGCATGTTGCGGTTACGTTAAGTAACGGAGATTGCATCGCTAATGATGCAATTGTGTTTGGCGGAAATGAAAGCGGTTTCGTGTGACGACTTCGCGCGCTTAGCCGGCTCGAACACCTCGCCTTCTATCATCTCCTGTCCATGCACCATATAGATCCCCTCGCAAATGCCCATCAAGAACCAATGAAGCCGAAGGAAAACCGAATGAAAAATTATATGCCCGCTAATTGCATCTGCTTTGCTTTTACCCAGCACTGCTTTATACAAAATGAGAAAGGAAGGAGCGAACGAACGGAAGTGGTTGTCAGGGAAAAGAGATGAGGCCGCTCTCAACGCTTCTCAAACAACCTGCCTTAATGAGCTCTCCATAATTGTTTAATTGGATAAGAAATAGAGTCACGGATGCTTGACACACTTCGCCAGTCTGTCTGCTCAAAACAGGATGAAAAAAAACAAGGAGCGAAGAGTGGGACTGGGAAATGGGATGGCATCGATGCCAGGCGAGCGAATCGGAGCAGCCACTGACCTACTGGCCTATTGATTTTCCTCCAGCAGACGACACCTCTTGAGCACTTTCCTCCGATTTCGAAACAGATTTTACCACCCGGGCTGAACGCCAAACCAATTGCACAAAAACATTCAATACAAAAAATATAGTTCTGCAAAGGTGCAATTTTTGAGCGAAAGAAATCTAGCTTAATTTTCCTTAGCTGATATAAAAGAACGCAAGCAATAACAAAATATTTTTTTTTTTATTTTTTTCTTTTTTTTTTCGGTTCACATTTTGCTTAATTCTACTTTATTTATTGAGTTCAAGTCAAGAGTGTACTATATGTATCCTTGTATATGCATCGTTAGTTGTCTGTTTGTGTGCCATGCTTCTTAGAACTTACCGGGATTCGAACCCGGACCGGTGGTGATATGATGTTATTGCTGACATGTATCTCCCTTACTCACTCAGCTACCACCGGCGGCGAGATGACAGCGTCTAGGGGTTCCCTTAAACCTCACCTACTGGGTTTTTGGGAAAATTGCCCCCCTGTTACGATTCCCAAGTTGTTATTCTGGGCCAACTACTTCGATTGCTGGCCCTATAGTAATCGAACAAATCGGAGCAGCCACTGCCCTTCTAGCCAATTGATATTCCTACAATTTTCTACAGCCTAAGGCAAACGACACCTCTCGAAACCTTTCCCTCTGATTCGGACCTAAATATTTCCTTTTGGACTGAATGCTGAACCAATTTAACAACTAGCGGGGATCATGAGGTAAGTTGTAATCGTAATCTTATGCAGGAAACCTAATTACCCATTTATTTTCTTAGTAGGGACAGAGGGCAAGTCGGTCCCAATGGATCTGTGGATCGCAACAATAGGCGAGTAAATATTTTACAGCAGTTCATTTTAGATAATAAGAAAGTTTTTTTTTAGAAGCCAGAGAAGTATCCAGATGCCGCGCTGTCCTTCTCGGGGTCCCGATCTGGTTAGCACTCCGGAGCACTTGCGACCAGGATTTCGTGGGCGGACACATCGATATGATCCCAGCGATTTCGGGCTGACGGGAAATGAGGAATGGCGGCATCCACGGATGTTCAGGAATATGACCTGTAAGTACTTGGGGGCTGATCGCGGCTATTATTATTTAATTTTACGCTCAGTTTAGTTTTTTGAATACACTTTTAATAATTAATTTATTCTTCGCATTGTTTAATTGGCAATACTCGTGCAAGTTCACTTCGAAAATAGGTTGTAAGCAAAGTTGTGAATTCTTTGAAATTCACTGTCCATCGAAAAGTTTTCAAAAATGGGCTTGTGTAACAGCCCTTATCCTGAAAGAAGACGAATGAATTCGCCTTAAAAAAATAATTAGTTGGCCATCCATGGTCAGGTGAATCCTTAACAAATCGTCGACTATCGAGGACATTTTATTCACGGTCTTTATATTATATACCATACATAAATCCATTTCTCAGAATTTTTGAATTTTTATTATTCTGACATCGAATGAAAAACCTTCTTTATTTTTATAGCAAATCATTGGAAAGCCCCCTTTAAATTCAATACCCTTTAAATTCAATTCCCTTAAAATTCATTTTCAAGAGAACAATGGCTGGCCATGGTCATGCCACCAGGATACAAATTATACCCAACGTATACCCAACATATAATTTGTATCCCAGTGGCGTGTCCGTGACCAGCCAAAGAGCTCATGTTTGTAAAATGTTAAAATTAATAACATGTAGGGAGATCAGTAAATTAATTATTAATCTTATCTTTCAGCTATAGCATATATTTTGAGAAGCAATGAAATTTTAAATTTCCTATTGTACTTTTCCCTAGTAAATGTTTTGACTAAATAAATGTACTCTAATTTGTAGATGAAACAGATGCTGCAGCTATGGAAACCTTCCGGCAGGCGCAACCACGTCGTCAACCCTATGAAACGGGAATGAACATGAGCAATTTGCCGGAGGAGTGCCTGGAGGATATGTCGGCACCTAACTTCGATCTCAGCCTGCCATCCCAGATGTCCGATTTGCGGGGAGAGTTACTGGCCGATGTCTCTGCTCCTAACATGTGCGATGTCTCAAAAACCACCAGCCACGTGGACAATGTATATGGCGAGATTCTGGATCGCTTTAAGAGCATTAGGGAACGTATTAATCGATCGAATCAACTCCACGGATCGGAGGATCCCTGCTATCAACAGGTAACTATATATTTTATACCATATCCAGACTTAGAAAGATTTTCAATAATATATCTAATCCACAGACCACGCGTCGCAGGATCTACACCCACCGTGATCCAAGTGGTCATGTCACCAGCCACGTTGATGAGACGACTGTTTCGAATACTTCCTCTCTGGATTGCACGCCCGCAGGTGAGGGTGGTGAACCGGGACGTCGTCTTAACTTCTCCTTACCCAATCGATCGGAGAACCTAATGGATGAGTCAATGCCCCCATATCTCGAGGCATCGCTAGAGGTCATGTCCTCTCAGGATATTCTGGATAATGAGACTATGCCGGCGTTCGAGTCCCTTGGACCCACTTTGAGGAGTCAGAATATGTCTCATCGTTCCTGTTTGGAGAATGAGACGATGCCGTCGTTTGCCAATATCTCTGGGATATCCCGAAGACAACAGACAATGCCCAGCGAATGTCTGGAAGATGTGAGCCAGCCTTCTTTCGAAAGGAGTAGATCTCGCAGACAGAGTCCCAGGCGGCAGCAAAACGTATCGATGCCTTCTCAGAACCTTTGGGACATCTCAGCGCCCTCGTTTGGGAACACAACCAGGGATCCAACTGTCAATGAGTGCCTCGAAGATATTTCAATGCCCGCATTTGAGGGGGTCTCGAATGTTTCCAGGAGCAGAGGTCAGAGCAGAAGTCAAAGGCAGAGATCGAGAAACACTCGCAATATAAGTGACATATCTGCCCCGACTTTCGCCAGTTCAAGACGGGGTCAAACCACCATTGAATGCCTGGATGATATGACCATGCCTTCATATGGCAGAGTATCGGGCTTATCACCGAACCGGAGTCTTCGCCAACTGCGAAAATCGATGTCAACGCAAAACATTAACGATATATCCGAACCTATGTATGCCAGTTTTTCAAGAGGACCCATGACTAATGAATGCCTAGAGGAAATAACCATGCCATCTTTTGGTGCTGTATCAGATTCTTCCAGGGGAAGAACATCTAGAAGACCGTCTTCAGCATTTGGAATGCCCAGCGAATGTCTGGAGGATATGACAATGCCCTCTGTTGGAGGAGTTTCAAGAGGTTCAAGAAGCAGAAGTCTTGATCGACACCAGAGATCCATGCCATCGAGTATGACGGACGAGTGTTTGGATGAGATGACCATGCCATCGTTTGGTGGAGTCTCAGGCTCCTCCAGAAGGCAAATAACCATGCCGAGCGAGTGCCTTGATGAGGTAAGTGCACCAACTTTCGGGAGGAGCAGTTCTAGAGGATCGACTCGGCGGCAGAGGACCATGTCATCCAAGAACATTCGCGATACATCTGCGCCCTCGTTTGCCAACTCCACCAAATATGGGGACACAAATGAATGCTTGGAGGATGTGTCGATGCCATCTTTCGGCGATGTATCGGGATCACCGAGGAGGAAAAGATCCCGGCGACAGCAGATGACGCTTCCCACGCAAAATATAGGTGATATATCGGCACCGTCATTTGCCAGCTCGGGACGACGTAATACGACCAATGAATGCCTGGAGGACATAACGATGCCATCGTTTGGAGGAGTATCTAACAATTCCAGGAGTCGGAGTCGAAAGCGCCAACAAAGTTCCAGCCATCGTTCGATGACTAACGAGTGCTTGGATGATATGACCATGCCTTCGATGGGTGGAGTATCTGCTATGTCCAGAAGACAAATGACCCTACCTAGTGAGTGTCTGAACGATGTGAGTGCCCCGACTTTTGGAAGAAGCATCTCTCGGGGGGACAGTAGGCGTCAACGAACATTGCCAAGTGCCAGTTCCACCAGATGTCCACCGACGAATGAGTTCCTGGAGGATGTAACCATGCCATCATTTGGCGGTGTTTCCTCAACATCTAGACGTAGACAGTTGACCATGCCCAGTGAGTGTCTGGAAGACATGAGTGCCCCGTCCTTTGGAGGCGTCTCTGGTCCTTCCAGGAGACAAACCACTGGCTTACCCAACGAGTGCCTTGAGGACATCAGCATGCCCACCTTTGGCAACATTTCTGCAATATCTCGAAGAAATGAGTGTTTGCCAGATGTCAGTCAGCCTGCACTTGGAAGAGGTAGATCGCTTGGACGGAGTGGGCGAAGTAAGCGGAACGTGAGCAGAACTCAAGCTACCAATGAATGTTTAGAGGATGTAACAATGCCTTCATTTGGTGGGATATCAGGAGCTTCCAGAAGGAAAAGTACCTCCCAACATCAGAAAACCATGCCACCAGTAAGTGAAGTCTCAGAAAGGACTAAGGAATGTCTAGAGGATGTGACAATGCCTTCCTTTGGAGGTGTATCGGGATCATCCAGAGCTAGAAGTCCGAGACAAAGATCAATGAATTCGAGAAGAGGGCAGATGACAAGCGAATGCTTGGACGATGAAACAATGCCATCGTTCGGAGGTGCTTCGCAACATTCAGGCCGAAGGACTCCCAGAAGACAGACTCAAAATATTAGCGGTATATCAGCTCCATCGTTTGCTAGTTCGGGTCCTGGATTTGAAACGAATGAATGCATTGAGGATATATCGATGCCTTCATATGCTGATAATACAAGAGCCTCTAGGGCAAAAAGCTCTACGTCAATGCAAAGGTCAAGACACGGAGTGATGACCAACGAATGTCTGGATGATGTGACAATGCCATCGTTTGGTCCTGCCAGCCAAAGTCCAGTCACAAACGAATTTCTCGAGGATATTTCAATGCCTTCATATAGGGAACACACAGGATCGCTGAGACGAAGATCCCACGCACCTGTGCAAAGCTCAAGACAAGAATGGTTGGATGAAATGACCATGCCATCTTTTGGTGGTTCAAGGCGTGGGCTAACTAGTGAATGCCTTGAGGACATTTCAATGCCAGCTTATGGAGAAGATACGGGATCGTCCAGAGGAAGAAGCTTTAGACAAGCAACGATGACCAACGAGTGTTTGAATGATATGACCATGCCATCGTTTGCTAGTTCCTATCGAGGACCTGTTACCAATGAATATTTAGAGGACATTTCAATGCCTTCATATGGAGGAATATCAGGATCTTCCAGGAAAAGCACAAGACAAAGGGCGTCAATAATGCAACGATCCAGACCAGGGACGATGACAAACGAACGTCTGGATGATATGACAATGCCTTCCTTTGGAACTTCAAGTCATGGACCTGCTACTAATGAATGTCTGGAGGACATTTCAATGCCTTCATATGGTGGAAATTCAGGATTGTCTAGAGGCAGGTCTACCACCCCAATGCAAAGATCTAATCAGGGAGCCGTGACATCGGAATGCTTGGATGATATGACCATGCCATCATTTGGCAGCTCTAGTCGTAGACCCGCAACTAATGAATGCCTTGAGGACATTTCAATGCCACCCTATGGAGACGATTCTGGACTATCTAGAGGAAGAAGCCCGATGCCTATGCAAAGCTTAAAGATGGGAGCGATGACCAATGAATGCTTGGACGACATGACCATGCCATCGTTTGGTAGTCCAATTAGTGGAATGGCTTATAACTCAGGATCAACTCGAGGAAGAAGTCCTAAGCAAATTCAAATATTTCAAGGACCGATGACAAACGAATGCTTGGATAACATGGCCATGCCATCGTTTGGTAACCTAAGTCGTGGTCCAGCTACAAATGAATGCCTGGAGGACATTTCAATGCCTTCATATAGAAGAAACACAGCTTCCTTCTCGAGGAGAAGCCCCAGCCCTGGGCAAAGGTCTAGGCAGGAAATGACGACCAACGAATGTTTGGAAGACATGACTATGCCCTCGTATGAGGAGGTATTTGGATCATCTAGGAGGCAGATGACTATGCCAAGTGAGTGCTTGAACGACGTAAGTGAACCCTCCTTCGCAAGGAGTATCCACGAGGGAACCAGTCGAAGACAGAGAACCTTGGCCTCTCCAAATACTATTTCACGAGGAAGAAGCCCTAGGCCACAGCAAATGTCGCTGACGAACGAGTGCCTGGAGGATATGACAATGCCAACATTTGGCGACATCTCTGGGTCATCGAGACGTGGCCAAAGCACCATGAACAGCGTTCGCTTGGAGGACATCAGCATGCCCTCAGGACTCTCAAACCGAACTCAGTACAGCGAGTGCGTTGAGGATAGTGCGAGTGGAGGACGTGGACGCCGCACCAACGAATGCCTTGAGGATGTGAGTGCTCCCAGTTTTGCCCCGAGCAGTCGAATGACCTCAAGACATATGCCCCATATGACAGACGAGTGTTTGGAGGATGTTTCCATGCCGCAGAATGAATCATTAGCCAGGAATGATTCTAAATCAATAGCGCGACGTCCACCAGACATTTCCTATCCCTCGGAAATGTTGGCCAACGAGAGTGCTCCCTCGTATCATTCACGCCGAGATGAAGCAGATAAGTCGGCCGACTGTTCGTGCTCAACTCCTCCACAGAGTTCCAGAAGCCGTCCCTGGGAAGACGGCAGTGCAGGTCGTTTGGAGGATGTGAGCATGCCCACCTTCGAGGACGTTTCCTATCAGCCACGACGCCATCAATTGACCATGCCCTGCGAAAACTTGGACGATGAGACTCAGCCGGACTTCTTTAACTCAACTGCATTGCCCAGCTCTACGAGAGCAGAGAAGCACCAGGGAAAATCCGCTCGACAGGAGCAGCAGACAAGTAGCAGCAAACAACTCGCCGATGAGAGTGCTCCATCTATACTGAAGGACACCACAAAAGGACCTTCAGAAGTGGTCAAGGAAGTTACCGTCCAGAGCTCAACCACCTCTGTGACAAGGATTTTTAATAAAACACCAGAAACAGGTAATAACTCGGGCCAGCAAATGATCGAAGACCTCTCGATGCCGCAGTTTGAGACCACGGGCTCCAGTACTCATCAGGACTCATCCCTTCACGGCTTCCAATCCATGGATAACTACAGGCCGTTCGATGAACTTATATACAGCCAGAACTCGGTGGGAAATCAAACGCAGCCCCAGACTCCTCAGCCAGCGAGGGGTCCGAACCGTAGTCGCAGTCTGCGAAGAACACCAAGCACACCGAACACTTCAAATAATCGTGGGGGAACTCCCCCCACTGCTACCAGGACTCCTGGTCAACCATGCGATATGGTTACCACCAGCTATCCCTATGGAAAACCCCATTGCTTTAGCCGAAAACCCTGCTAGATGGATAACACTCATTGAAGATTTATATGTAAATTGGTTTACAAACCATGTATTTTATACATTCTTTTGTATAGAGAAAACTAGATTTTAATAAAATTTGAAGAATCCATTTATTGGTACTCCTACGTAAAAATTACAATTCCATAGCAAATGAAAAATAACCAAATGTCAAGGAGAAGCAAACAAATATGAATTATGATTCCGAATTTCCAAAAACCATGTTCAACAATTTACACCATATTGAGACAATTTCCGCGAAAAAAACAATGCAAGTTCATTGTAGCATATAGAAACTGGTACATGCATATATTTCTACAAAATTGGTAACAAATAGGTTCAGGAATCGGGGAGGAAGCTTCCAGCGGAAGCGCGTTCATTGCTGCCTTTTTGCAGCCTTTGGCCTTCTGTTGTTTCTCCCATGCTCATTTCCTTTGTTACCGCTGCTGTTTTTGTTGTTCCTGGCGTTGTTAAGAGGGAAATAAAGGAGCTATATAGGTTAAATAAGGGGTACCTGTATCTGTAGCAGACACCAGACGAGTGTGTCGAGCGATGCGAGCTATTTAAAAACAATTTATTTTTAGCAAGCGCCACGAGCGAAACAACCTGTCGACCCACTGCATACCCACCCATCAAATGCGTACAGAGAAAGAAATTTGAACAGAAATCAATTCTTTTTTTACTTGTTGCTTATTGGTTTTGAAATAAAATTAGCCGATTTTTAGGAAGCTGGGAAAATGAGGTTAATAATTTATAATTAAATAATATTTGGCGCCCAACGTGGGACGGACCTTTTATGTCAACAGAAAATGCTATTAAAAATTGTTATAAACAGTATTACATAATTGGTTTATTATAGTAAAGAGTTGTTAGACTGATTAATGATAGTTACAGATACAATTGCTATGAGATATTTTTTCATCATACATTTTCCATGGGATAATTTGTTTCAGTGTTTTTTTTTTGCATAGTATGCCCCCTAAGCTCGTCCGTTCCCTCCTTTCCGCTCTTGTGACTGCGACGTTGATTTCGGTTTGAAAAATCGAGCGTAGCCCGACAAATGTCGGCGAGGTCGGTTAGGAAGGTGCCAGAGGTATGCAAAACAAGAACTGCAGATGCTTCAGATTGGTTTTCCAATTACTCAACATTTCAATGCAAATAACGCAGGGGCGGGGGTGGAAAGGGGTGCCAAACGGGGTGTGCAAGTGTATAGTCAGGAGAAAGATGGCGACGTAACGGTTAACGCCGCAGTGGGTAACCCGTTGAAGAATTGAATTGGCAACATCGCACACACATTGCCATCCCCATCCCCATCCCCGTCCCCATTCCTATCGCCATCCCCATCAACATCCACATCCAAATCCCCGTTTGTGAACGGCGGTTGAGATTGCGGCTGAGATGCGAGTTGTGGGGGCGGTGACCCGGCTCACAGCTGGGGCTAAATATATCTTTCGATTTCTTGTCAGAGATAAAATTTCAATCACGTTTACTTCACTTTCACTTGGCCGTTCTCGTTCCCATTCCCGTTACCGCCCACTGACCCACTCAATCAGAGCCCGATTCAGCCTGGCTCTGGATGTGCTAGCCGAGCGCACCGAAAAGTCTCCGAATTTTTCGTCAAGTTTTCCAGGGGTGTGAGTTATTGCGGGTCAGATATTCCCCAACTAACACCTAGGGTATTCGTTTTTAATTTGCAGGCATTTATTGAATATTGTATCTTTCTGTTTAAGGATGTTAATTGGTTACGCATAAATATATACCTGTGCGTGGTTTAATTATGTTATGCTTTAAATATGAATATTTATAATGTGAAAGTTATAAAAAAAGGATCGACTTCTTAATAAAATGTCAAGGTTTAAGTTGGTTATCTATCAGCTAAAGTTAATATGAACTTAAATATCTCAATATGTTGTTAATTTCTTGAGTTTTGTTTCGAAAAAGCAATTTAACTAACCGACAAAAGTAATCATAGCAATGAGAAATAGGATTAGATAATTTGATCAATTCATTGTATTACCTGCTTATCAATACTGGCTATCTATGCCAAACCAAACTTTTACATTTCTCAACACTGTTAATTTCCTGTGCTGACTGACTTTTCAGACAATGCAACCATTTGTCAACACTGAAGTAGGAGCGAAAAGGTGGGTGGTGGACCTAAATCTTGATTTTCATTTCCATTTTCCATCATCATGAGAGGACGAAGGCAGTGGAGGAGGGGGGCGAAGGCCTCACACGTAGCAGCCACTTAAAAGTTGAAAATTACAATTTACAGTTTTAGCCCCCCAAAGACTCGTTTACCCACACACATACACACCGCCCGCACACATGCATACATATTTAGTTTATTTCCCTTTTTTTTTAGTTACCATTCAAGTGGCAGTTAAAATGGCTTCAGCCTCAATTGCTGGCATCCTGGTGGCGTTTCGCTGGTTGCATCCACCATTTTACCATCCCGCCATCCTGCCATTCCGCCATTTCAGGACCAGCATCCAACATCCTATGGCCAACATCCTACATATAACATCCAGCATCCAACATCCAACGGCCAACAGAGGGCGACCCGCTGCATTAGGAAAGTTGACGCTGTTGATGCTGTGAGCGATTTATTGTTTTTGTGTAGAAAGCGTAAAATGGAACAAATTTCCCCATTCCCCTTCCTTGAAAGCCCACACACAGTGATGCCGACGACCCATTTCAAAAGCAGGACAAATCGAACCGCACAAGATGGCCAAAAAGACATCAAAAGACATCCGGATTTGAATGAAAATGCGGTTGTTTAATCAGATTTTCGCAAAAGGTAATTAATTCTTATTCAGATTAAAAAGCAATTTAAATGAAGAGCTTTTCGTGGGCTTGATTGCAATAGCTTTGAAGAATTCGAAGGCTTACAAAATATAGTATTATTTTATTGCATTATCTTGTGCATTGTACACGTATTTCATTTTAGGTATTTCTTATTGATACCTAACATTTCAACATAATTTATTTTTATTTATTAACGTATATTTTCTTTAAAAAACTCAAAATTCTTTACGTCTTTAGTGTTCGATTGTACAAATTATTTTATATTATTGATCAGTTAATGTAGTTTTAAGAAAACTTAAGATTCAAAGTATTGATACATTTAAATAATTGTTTTTTAAGCTTCCTTACAATAAAATTTATTTTAATTATTTAAATATTATTATATATTATAAATTATGTAATATATTTAAGTTCGGTTCCGAATTGTTTTCTTACTATTATATTTAAAAGCTCATAAATGAAGATGCCTAGATTTTTAAAAGAAACCTTAAAGGTGCCCAAAAGAAGGCAACAATATATTTAGAGTGCAGAATCCAGATGGATTCCAGCCACTTTTACTGCATACTTTTAGACACCTTTATAAGTGATTTCAAAACCCTAGAGCTTTCGAAAAACCGTCATCACTTCCCCGCACACACACACAGACTCGAGCACCCACCAAGTGTTTGCCTGTGAGTGTGGTTGCATACTTTTAGGCTGCAACTGCAACGGCTGCTCCTGGTTTTCGTCCTGCCAGCCCCCCACCAAGCCCCCTTTCACGACACCCCTCATGCCCATTCGAGGCTAGGCAGTTAATTGTAATTCTGCAAAAATGCTGTCAAAGTTATGCGAGTGCGAAAATGGCCACGGGCCAGGGGCAGCTGGTGGTTTTGGTTTCGACAGGGGGCGGAGGATACATGCAACTTGGAGGGGCAGAAATGGCGATGGAGGGGTGAAAACTATGGGGCAGTTGGACAACGGAACGGCAGTCAACCAAACCCGCATTCGAGTGGATCCCAGTTTGTTTCCCAATCGCATTTTAAAGCCAGTCGGCTGGACTTAAAGCCCGCGGCATCGATTGGCCATGGGCTAGAATTCCGGAAGTGGCCTAAATCTGAACCAGCTGGGTTCGTTAATCGTTTACGGTTTGTCAGCTCGTATTTTTCAACTGTCTGTGCACTCTGCCCTGCTAGAAAGTTTTTCTATATTGTTTTATTTTATTGTGTGCAGATGTGTTCAATTTGAAAGAATACATTTTGTAAAACTTGTCAACAAAACTGGGAAAAGAGTAGATAATTCTTTGTATGCTGTAAATATTTAAATAGTATTATTTTCAAATGCATTCCAAATGAATTTCAGATTTTATTTAATATTATTTTGTCAATTTTTACTATGTACTACATTTGGCTAACATTTTCATATTAATATCTTCTTTTACAGATTTTCCTGCTTTTACATTAAAGGTTTTCAATTTATCATTTCCTTGTCCTTTACTTTTTGCCTTCCCTTTTTTGGTCAACCCACAGTGATTTACCCCCCAAAAGCAGTTTTATTAAAACTTTATATACCTTTACCTCTCTGAAGGTTTTAATTAATTTCATTCGTTGGTGGTTAGCTCTTCAATTACATTTTACCCAGAGCTTTGAAGCAAACCAGTTAGTGTTTGATTTCATAGCATTTGCTTTGCTTCAATTTTGTTGGGAAACTTTCACGCATTCTATTCTTAATGAAATCTACAGCAGCTGTGAATAACTTTGTTTACATTGCCGAACTTGGTGTATTTGATATACAGTGCCACTGGAAAAGTTATGTCCTTCAAAGGGAATAGTTCGCACTATATTTGTTTGTAATTCGAATAATTAAATGATATTAAATTTCTTTTTTAGCTTTGTGAAAGTGAATAGAGCACTATCCATTCTAAATGAATTTTATAGTAATTTGAAATCACTTTAAAGTTCTTTATAATGCAATGCTAATTTTAGAATCCTTTGTGGTCTTCCAAAGATATAAATCCTCACGAAAGATTAGCCCCATTTTCGTGCTCCAAATTGGTCTTGCGGAATAATATATAATTTGCCAAAATAAAGTGCCCAAATTTCCATTAATTATTTAGCCCACTGAATTCTTGTTTTGGCCCACTTTTACCCACGACAGAATCCAACTTTTCTTGGGCATACAACCCACCGGCAACCACCCATGATTTATCCGTTGACGTTTGGCGAATTTGGCAAATCAGTGCCGGAACTTTCGCAAATGCTAAA